GCTATATGATGATTATTAATAATCTCCTTATATCCTTTATTATCTCTCCTGATATTTCTCATATTTGGAAAGCAACATGTTCTTTTTCTCCCTTAGGTGTGTTGCACATGGTTTCCTTTGTCATTCCTCCATCTCACTACCTCTTGCTCATCTTTTACATAGACCATGTGTATTAACATAGTACTGAGCTCCTCATAACACTCATATTCTGTACCTATTTATTTATAAAAATTTGCCCTCACAGGTTTGGCTTAATAGATAGAGCGTCGGCCTGCAGACTGAAGGGTCCCAGGTTTGATTCCTGTCAAGGGCACATGCCGAGTTTGCAGGCTCGATCCCCAGTAGGGCTTGTATAAGAGGCAGTCAAGCAGTGATTCTCTCTCATCAATGTTTCTTTCTCTCTCTCTTTCTCTCGATTCTCTCTCATTGATGCTTCTATCTCTCTCTCCCTCTGAAATCAATAAAAATATATTTTAAAAAATTACCTACTTACATGCCTTTTTGTTATTCTATTAGGCAAAGTCTGGAATCATGTTAGTTTTGTTCTTTTCTCTATATTTAGCACTCTAAGGTAATTGAAATGATGTTAAGATTTGAAGAGTTTTAATTTTTTTGGTAAGACCAGTGATCTCTGCATTTGATGCCAAGTTTAGCTGGAGGCACCCAAATACACAAACATCTCACAAAGTTGTAGAGATGTACTTGATCAAATAAATGGCTTGCTTTAAGCAGAGGATGGATTAGATGTCCATGGAGTAATTCTTTGATGTTTTTAATTATTGGTGGTTACCATAAGCGAGCCGTAGAAATATATAAAACCTCCCTTTATTTATTATAAAGTCAGAATTAATGAATTAATTGTATACTTTGTAAAGATACTCTAAAACTTTTAAAAATCAAATGTCTTTCCTTTCTTAATTCTTATCTAGAATATCTATGTGATTATGGCCTGTACATGAAGCCCATTGGGAGCTTATTAAATGACTTTATTTTTGTTGTTGAAATGTAATTTGGACATATAAAGTACATATTCCTTTCTTTGCTTTCTTTCTGAACTAAGATTTCCTGACCTTATATAGTTTAAATTTAGTTTGCATTGAAATACAGTTTTAAATCTAAAATGTAAAATTTGCTATGTTTGGAATTGTTTATGGCTTTTGTTTTATATAATGATATATTAAGACAAACAATGTTAATACAAAACAGTATTATCTTAAGATACAGATTACCGTAATTTCTGTAGTCATCATGTGAAAATTGTGACATTTCTTTTTTTTAAGAAAAGATTTAATTACATTCTAGCACAACAACTTCTCTGGGGCTATTCAGGTACGATAACTGACTAAATGTTGTGTTCATTTGTAGCCTGATGTTTTTGTTCATTTGATTCTTTGAATCATACTTTTTCATTTACCTAAAATGAAATTATGTCAACACTTTTTTTCTAGTGGTAATAACTATTAAAGGAGAGAGGAAACTATACTGATATAGGTACGTAGGTGGTAGTTATATATACCACAATAAAACCATATTTAAATGGCTTAGAATCATTAATTTCATAAAAAAATTAGTTTCAAATGGAAAAATTATGTGGAAATCTTTATTTCAAGCTGTGATATTTAGTGGGAAAGTCCGAGAGTGAACATACCTCTGTTATATGGTACACATAAATATTGAGAATAAAAAGGGTTGAGGGGCATCAGTTCTGGATCGCTGAAGGGAGGGAACCTTACGGCTTGGTGTCCTGAAGGGAAGAATAGCAGAGGAAAATTACAGTGGCTAAGACAGCTTTATTAGGAACAATCAGCTGATCACTCTTATAATTCCTTGTGTGCCACTTTTGACTGTCCTTTTTTTTAAAATAAAAGGTTTTTTACTTAACCTGAATTATTTTTCTCTTAGTTCATTTTTTACTTGGAAAATTAGAGGGTACAAGATTTGCTTTACAGAAATTTTTGGTAAAAAATGTTTTTTGGAATCAATCTATTCTTTGAAGCAGGCTACACCTATATAACAATTAATTTAGAAACTTAGCTATTGTTATACTGATAATTCATACAAAGATTAAAGTTGGTTTCTAACTTGTATTAAAAAATAGCTTACATTTACAACTACTATTATTATGTATTATTAAACCTTATTTAATATATCATTTTTAAGGTGTAATCAAAGAGGAAAACAAAATCTCATGGAAATGGGCTGCATACATCGTTCTCACCTCCCCATGAGCTCTGGTTATGTGAGTGAGCTCCCAGTTGTTGCTGCACTCCTATTCAAGATAAAAAGAAGGAAGGCAGCCACGGTGTGCTGATTTACTAAGATTTGACCCCTAGTGCTATTTTTGAACCACCTCTGTGTGCTTCATCCACATTAGAGTGGAAGTTTCCGCTGGGCCCCACAGTGCGTGCCATGCTGCCCCTAATCTTGTGCAGTGCTTAGTAGGCAGGAGGCTTTCTTTTCCTTTTTTTTTTTTTTTTTGAAGATTTGACTTCAAACAGCTAAATGTGACTTACTGTTTACCGTTTAATCGAACCTTTATTTTATCCCCTATGTGTTTACAAAGAGATTTGGATATCTCTACACAGTGGAGCATTGTTAGAACTCATCAATGATCAAAGCTGCCATTGCCACTTCCTGTACAAAAAAAGTATAAAAAACTGTTGCTGTACTTACAGCCTTGGGTCATCAGAGTAGTCAGCTGGCTGCAACTCTGAAAGGGCCTGGTCAGGTAGTAAACTCTTAGCTCATAAAAGTAATAAGGACTGAGATTTTTTGGTTAAGTAAATTTTGAAGGAGTCCATAGTATTCTGGTTCCATCCATGTTGAAAATCATTCTCAAAGTTAGTACTGAGCATAAACACATAAATAAATGTATACAACAAAAAACAGTGCAGTCTTTCATTCAGTACATTGATGTTATTATTTTGAACTGAAGAGTAGTTTAAAGCAGAAACTACTCTTAGAAGAGTTCTTTCTAAATTAAATAATCATATAATAGTTTAGATAAAAGCTTTCTGTCTCTAGGAATACTTTCAGTTCTGTATAGTTAAGTACTTTTGACAATGCTGATAAATTTAAAGGCAAGGCCACAAACACATAAGTCATTTATTAGAAAGCTAAAAATTATTTTGCTGATACTGTTAGAGGTGCTTTGTAATTTCAGTGACTTTCTAAACCAGGACATGAAGACTTTTTTCTGGTTAACATTTATAATTTAGAGTTAAAAACTTTATAAAGGCTTAAATACAAAATAAATAGAAATTAGAACTTCAGATTGGATTGACATAGGTACTTAGAATTGTGTCTTACTACATTTTCTCTCTCCTTTACTTTCTTTTCTATTATGTGTTTTAGTTCAGCATGACTGGTGTGTTAATCGCATGTTATGTGTGGAGTGTGTTCTTTTATTGGCATTTTGTTTATATGTTAATGTTATATAATGTTTCTGAAGGTAGGTATGTCTTTTATAAATTGTCAAATTTCATGCATGGATTTTGGGTAGAATTATTTTAAAAATGCATTATTTGGCAATTATTAACCTAGAACATAGTGTAGTGAATATTTAATTTTTTTGTTTTCTGAGTGTTGTGAACTTTAATTTTTAACTCATTTTTGTATCTTTGGTGTTATATCTTTACATTTCTTATGATTTGGATATTCTATTTTGTTAATTCAGTAAGCATTTGTTTAAAACATTGTTGTTAAAAATTAATTATAAAAATTATATTTTAATGGGACTTATCAACCAAGGAGACTATATTAATCAAATTCCTGATAAAATTTTATTTCTCAAATATTACTACTTGATTTACCCTAAATCATACAATGTAGAAACTGAAAATATTCAGAATTTGGGTATTTATAGATTTCAAAAGTTGTAAAACTGTGCCCTTGCTTAAACTTCCATGGCAGTAATTTTAAAATGTCTATTGTAACATGAAAGATAATTTTTTGGACAAAGGTAAAGTCATCTTCCTGATGTGTAAGCCTGTGAAATAAGGGTGTTAAAATATACTGATATACAGAAATTTCAAGGCGCTTGAGCTGTGTCCTCTTTTATATCTTTTTTCAAAATTAGTCTTTCAAGAGTCTAGAAATTATATGTACACAGGGAGAAAATGATGTTAGTTTTCCATAGGATTGAATTTAAGATATTTCTTATTTCCCTATTTAGGCAAATACATACCTATAGGTATATAGTGTTATTTCAAAATTTTGTTCCTACTGGTAATATAAATACTCTGAAACACAAAATACACTTAGAAATAAAGTGTTAATTTCTAGACCAGTGGTTAAAGTTATGAATATGCTCCTTACTTTGGCATGTAAATATAGAAGTCTTGAGACCTAGAACCTCATCCTCATCCTTTTTCCAGATGAGAGCATGCAAGTCCCAGGAAGCTTAAGTGACACGTGTGATTGAAAGAAAACTAAGTTTCCTTGCTGTCTCTGCTTCAGAGAGTGTTGGTCTTACTTCATTACAACATTTGTGTTCTTACTTCAGGCCCTTCTTGTTATCTAGTGCAGCCACGTGGCTCCTGCAGACATGAAAAAAAGAAATTCATGTTGTGGTCGCTTATAAATTACGTATATACCCCTAAATAAAATGGTACTTACTTAAACTTTATCCACTTTTCTTTGGTACTTTTATTTATGAAAAATAACCACAAAAAATTCTTATCCACGTTGATCCCATTTGTAGAACATTATAGGATAATTTTTAAAACACACGTAAATACATTTTACATATATATTTAAAATAATAAGCACTTTCCATAAAGAATTATTTATCTCTTAGGTTATTATAAATATGGATTTATGGGTAGAATTTCTGTTATTTAAATATTATATTAGTCCAGTTATGCTGAATTTTTGCATTTTTACAATATACTTAAAACTCTCAAAATGACTGTCTAGCACTGTCTAATCTGCAGGAATAGAAAGCTAAATAAGTTATAGTAGAATTACATATTTATAACATGTCTGTATATGATTTACAGGAAGACCATGTACTCAGCTGCAGCTTCTAAATCCAGAACGATTTGCACGTCTAATCAAAGAAGTAATGAATACATTCTGGCCTGGCAGAGAGTTGATCGTTCAATGGTATCCATTTGATGAAGACAAAAATCATCCATCTGTTTCATGGCTTAAAATGGTTTGGAGGAATCTCTATATACATTTTTCAGAGGATTTGACTTTATTTGATGAGATGCCACTCGTCCCCAGAACTACACTAGAAGAAGGTCAGACATGTGTGGAACTCATTAGACTCAGGATTCCATCATTAGTCATTTTAGATGATGAATCTGAAGCACAACTTCCGGAATTTTTAGCTGACATTGTACAGAAACTTGGAGGGATTGTCCTTAAGAAATTAGATGCCTTCATAAAACATCCACTTGTTAAAAATTACATTCATTCACCATTACCAAGTGCTGTTTTGCAGATAATGGAGAAGATGCCATTGCAAAAATTGTGTAATCAAATAGCTTCATTACTTCCGACACACAAAGATGCCCTGAGGAAGTTCCTAGCCACTTTAACTGATAGCAGCGAAAAGGAAAAAAGAATAATTCAGGAATTGGCAATATTTAAACGAATTAACAATTCATCTGGTCAGGGAATTTCCTCTTATACAAAACTGAAAGGTTGTAAAGTCTTGCACCATACTGCCAAACTTCCTCCAGATCTGCGACTCTCTATTTCAGTAATAGACAGCAATGATGAAGCTACTATTCGCTTGGCAAACATGTTGAAAATAGAGACGTTAAAGACCTCTAGCTGCTTAAAGCTTGTTTTAAAAGATATTGAAAATGGATTTTATTCACATGTAGAGATAACACACCTTATGTTATGGATCCTTGAGAATCTGTCCTCTCTTAAAAATGAGAATCCAAATGTACTTGATTGGTTAATGCCATTAAAATTCATCCAGATTTCACAGGAAAGAATGGTATCAGCCAGTGAACTCTTTGATCCTGATATAGAAGTACTAAAGGATCTCTTTTATAGTGAAGAAGAAACTTGCTTCCCACCTTCAGTTTTTACCTCACCAGATATTCTTCACTCTTTAAGACAGATTGGTTTAAAAAACGAAGCCAGTCTCAAAGAGAAAGATGTTGTACAAGTGGCAAAAAAAATTGAAGCCTTACAGGTCAGTGCTTGTTCAAATCAGGAAGTTCTCACAAAGAAAGCCAAAACACTCTTACTGGTTTTAAATAAGAATCATACATTGTTGCAGTCATCTGAAGGAATGATGACACTGAAGAAAATAAAATGGGTTCCAGCTTGCAAGAAAAGGCCTCCAAATTATCCAGGTTCTTTAGTATGGAAAGGGGATCTCTGTAGTCTTTGTGCACCACCAGAGATGTGTGATGCAGCCCATGCAATTCTAGTTGGCTCAGCACTTCCTCTTGTTGAAAGTATCCATGTGAACTTGGAAAAAGGTCTAGGTATCTTCACAAAACCTAGCATTAGTGCAGTCTTGAAACACTTTAAAATTGTTGTTGAGTGGTATACTTCGAAAACTTTTAGTGATGAAGACTACTACCAGTTCCAACATATTTTGCTTGAAATTTATGGATTCATGCATGATCATTTAAATGAAGGGAAAGATGCTTTCAGAGCCTTAAAATTTCCCTGGGTTTGGACTGGCAAAAAATTTTGTCCCCTCGCCCAAGCTGTGATAAAACCATTCCATGATCTTGATCTTCAGCCTTATTTGCATAATGTGCCCAAAACCATGGTAAAATTCCACCAACTGTTTAAGGTCTGTGGTTCAATAGAGGAGCTAACATCAGATCATATATCCATGGTTATTCAGAAGGTATATCTCAAAAGTGATCAAGATCTCAGTGAACAAGAAAGCAAACAAAATCTTCATCTTATGTTAAATATTATCAGATGGCTATATAGCAATCAGATTCCAGTAAGCCCGAACACACCAGTTCCTATACATCATAACAGAAATCCTTCTAAACTAATCATGAAGTCAATTCATGAATGCTGTTATTGTGACATCAAAGTTGATGATCTTAATGACTTATTGGAAGATTCAGTGGAACCAATCATTTTGGTACATGAGGACATACCTATGAAAACTGCTGAGTGGCTGAAAGTTCCATGCCTTAGTACAAGATTGATCAATCCTGAAAACATGGGATTTGAACAGTCTGGACAAAGAGAACCACTTACTGTAAGAATTAAAAATATTTTGGAAGAGTACCCTTCAGTGTCAGATATTTTTAAAGAACTTCTTCAAAATGCTGATGATGCAAATGCAACAGAATGCAGTTTCATGATTGATATGAGAAGAAATATGGATATTCGAGAGAATCTTCTGGACCCAGGGATGGCAGCGTGTCATGGGCCTGCTTTGTGGTCATTCAATAATTCTGAATTCTCAGATTCAGATTTTGTTAACATAACTAGGTTAGGGGAATCTTTAAAAAGAGGAGAAGTAGACAAAGTTGGTAAATTTGGTCTTGGATTTAATTCTGTGTACCATATTACTGACATTCCTATCATTATGAGTCGAGAATTCATGATAATGTTCGATCCAAACATAAACCATATCAGTAAACACATTAAAGACAGATCTAATCCTGGGATCAAAATTAATTGGAGTAAACAACAGAAAAGACTTAGGAAGTTTCCTAATCAGTTCAAACCATTTATAGATGTTTTTGGCTGTCAGTTACCCTTGACTGTAGAAACACCTTACAGCTGTGAGTGAAGTTAGTAATACCTGTTATAATACAGCAGATATTTACTCTCTTGTGGATGAGTTTAGTCTGTGTGGACACAGGCTTATCATTTTCACTCAGAGTGTAAACTCAATGTATTTGAAGTACTTGAAAATTGAGGAAAGCAATCCCAGCTTAGCACAAGATACAATAATAATTAAAAAAAAAATCTGCTCTTCCAAAGCATTGAATACACCTATCTTAAGTGTTTTAAAAGAAGCTGCTGAGCTTATGAAAACTTGCAGTGGCAGTAATAAAAAGCCGCCTACTGATGCACCAAAGTCATCTTGCATTCTTCAGATCACAGTTGAAGAATTTCACCATGTGTTCAGAAGGATTGCTGATTTACATTCACCACTTTTTAGAGGTCCAGATGATGACCCAGCTGCTCTCTTTGAAATGGCTAAATCTGGGCAATCAAAAAAGCAATCAGATGAGTTGTCACAAAAAACAGTAGAGTGCACCACGTGGCTTATATGTACCTGCATGGATACAGGAGAGGCTCTGAAGTTTTCCCTGAATGAAAGTGGAAGAAGACTAGGACTGGTTCCTTGTGGTGCAGTAGGAGTTCTGTTGTCTGAAGTCCAGGACCAGAAGTGGGCTGTGAAACCACACGTTGGAGAGATGTTTTGCTATTTGCCTTTACGAATAAAAACAGGATTGCCAATTCACATCAATGGGTGCTTTGCTGTAACTTCCAATAGAAAAGAAATCTGGAAGACAGATACAAAAGGACGATGGAATACCACCTTCATGAGACATGTTATTGTGAAAGCTTACTTAGAGGCACTCAGTGTCCTACGTGACCTGGCCACCAGTGGGGAGTTAATGGACTATACTTACTATGCAATGTGGCCTGATCCCAATTTAGTTCATGATGATTTTTCTGTAATTTGTCAAGGATTTTATGAAGATATAGCTCATGGAAAAGGGAAAGAATTGACCAGAGTCTTCTCTGATGGATCTATGTGGGTTTCCATGAAGAATGTGAGATTTCTAGATGACTCAATACTTAAAAGAGATGTTGGTCCAGCAGCCTTCAAGATATTTTTAAAATACCTCAAGAAGACTGGGTCAAAAAACCTTTGTGCTGTTGAACTTCCTTCTTCAGTAAAATTAGGATTTGAAGAAGCTGGCTGCAAACAGATACTGCTTGAGAATACATTTTCAGAGAAACAGTTTTTTTCAGAAGTATTTTTTCCAAATATTCAAGAAATTGAAGCAGAACTCAGAGATCCTTTAATGAATTTTGTTTTAAATGAAAAAATTGATGAATTCTCAGGAATTCTTCGTGTTACTCCATGTATTCCTTGCTCTTTAGAGGGACATCCTTTGGTTTTACCATCAAGATTAATTCATCCTGAAGGACGAGTTGCAAAGTTATTTGATACTAAAGATGGACGATTTCCTTATGGTTCTACTCAGGATTATCTTAATCCTATTATTTTGATTAAGCTAGTTCAGTTAGGTATGGCAAAAGATGATATTTTATGGGATGACATGCTAGAACGTACAGAGTCAGTAACTGAAATCAATAAAAGTGATCATGCTGCTGCTTGTCTAAGAAGTAGTATCCTATTAAGTCTTATTGATGAAAAACTGAAAATAAGGGATCCTAGAGCAAAGGACTTTGCTGCAAAGTATCAAACAATCCCCTTCCTTCCATTTCTAACAAAACCAGCAGGTTTTTCTTTGGACTGGAAAGGTAACAGCTTTAAGCCTGAAACCATGTTTGCAGCAACTGACCTTTACACCGCTGAGCATCAAGATATAGTTTGTCTTTTGCAGCCAATTCTAAATGAAAACTCACATTCCTTCAGAGGTTGTGGTTCAGTGCCATTGGCTGTTAAGGAGTTTTTGGGATTACTAAGGAAGCCAACAGTTGATCTGGTTGTAAACCAATTGAAAGAAGTTGCAAAATCAGTTAATGATGGAATTACATTATACCAGGAGAATATCACCAATGCTTGCTATAAATATCTTCATGAAGCAATGATGCAAAATGAAATCACTAAGTTATCAATTGTTGAAAAGTTAAAAACCTTTAGCTTCATTCTAGTTGAGAATGCATATGTTGACTCAGAAAAAGTTTCTTTTCATTTGAATTTTGAAGCAGCACCTTACCTTTATCAGTTGCCTAATAAATATAAAAATAATTTCCGTGAACTTTTTGAAAGTGTGGGTGTAAGGCAGTCATTTACTGTTGAAGATTTTGCCCTTGTTTTGGAATCCATTGATCAAAAAAGGGGAACAAAGCAAATAACAGAAGAGACTTTTCAGCTTTGCCGGCGAATAATTAGTGAAGGAATATGGAGTGTCATTAGAGAAAAGAAACAAGAATTTTGTGAGAAAAATTATGGCAAAATATTATTGCCAGATACTAATCTTAAACTTCTTCCTGCTAAATCTTTATGCTACAATGATTGTCCCTGGATAAAAGTAAAGGATACCACTGTAAAATATTGTCATGCTGATATACCCAGGGAAGTAGCTGTAAAACTAGGAGCAGTACCAAAACGGCATAAAGCCTTAGAAAGATATGCATCCAACATCTGTTTTACAACACTTGGCTCAGAATTTGGACAGAAAGAAAAACTCACCAGCAGAATTAAGAGTATCCTTAATGCTTATCCTTCAGAAAAGGAGATGTTGAAAGAACTTCTTCAAAATGCTGATGATGCAAAAGCCACAGAAATCTGTTTTGTGTTTGATCCTAGACAGCATCCAGTAGATAGAATATTTGATGATAAGTGGGCCCCATTGCAGGGGCCAGCACTTTGTGTGTATAACAACCAACCTTTTACAGACGATGATGTGAGAGGAATTCAGAATCTTGGAAAAGGCACCAAAGAAGGAAATCCTTATAAAACTGGACAGTATGGAATAGGATTCAATTCTGTGTATCATATTACAGACTGTCCTTCTTTTATTTCTGGCAATGATATCCTGTGTATTTTTGATCCTCATGCCAGATACGCACCAGGAGCTACATCCATTAGTCCTGGACGTATGTTTAGAGATTTGGATGCAGATTTTAGGACACAGTTCTCAGATGTTCTGGATCTTTATTTGGGAACCCACTTTAAACTGGATAATTGCACAATGTTTAGATTTCCTCTTCGTAATGCAGAAATGGCAAAAATTTCAGAAATTTCTTCAGTTCCATCATCAGATAGAATGGTCCAGAATCTTTTAGACAAATTGCGATCAGATGGGGCAGAACTTTTAATGTTTCTTAATCACATGGAAAAAATTTCTATTTGTGAAATAGATAAAACTACTGGAGCTCTAAATGTTCTGTATTCCGTAAAGGGAAAAATCACTGATGGAGACAGATTGAAAAGGAAACAATTTCATGCATCTGTAATTGACAGTGTTACTAAAAAGAGGCAGCTCAAAGATATACCAGTTCAACAGATCACCTATACAATGGATACTGAGGACTCTGAAGGAAATCTTACTACATGGCTAATTTGTAATAGATCAGGTTTTTCAAGTATGGAAAAAGTATCTAAGAGTGTTATATCAGCTCACAAGAACCAAGATATTACCCTCTTCCCTCGTGGTGGAGTAGCTGCCTGCATTACTCACAACTATAAAAAACCCCACAGGGCCTTCTGTTTTTTGCCCCTCTCTTTAGAGACGGGATTACCATTTCATATGAATGGCCACTTTGCTCTAGATTCAGCCAGAAGAAATCTGTGGCGTGATGATAATGGAGTTGGTGTTCGAAGTGACTGGAATAACAGCTTAATGACAGCATTAATAGCTCCTGCATATGTTGAATTACTAATCCAGTTAAAAAAGCGATATTTCCCTGGTTCTGATCCAACATTATCAGTTTTACAGAACACGCCTATTCATGTTGTAAAGGACACTTTAAAGAAGTTTTTATCATTTTTCCCAGTTAACAGGCTTAATCTACAACCAGATTTATATTGTCTAGTGAAAGCACTTTATAGTTGCATTCATGAAGATATGAAACGTCTTTTACCTGTTGTACGGGCTCCAAATATTGATGGCTCTGATTTGCATTCCGCAGTTATAATTACTTGGATTAATATGTCTACTTCAAATAAAACTAGACCATTTTTTGACAATTTACTGCAGGATGAATTACAACACCTTAAAAATGCAGATTATAATATCACAACACGGAAAACAGTAGCAGAAAATGTCTATAGACTGAAGCACCTACTTTTAGAAATTGGTTTCAACTTGGTTTACAACTGTGATGAAACAGCTAATCTGTTCCACTGTCTTGTAGATGCAGATATTCCTGTTAGTTATGTAACTCCTGCTGATGTTAGGTCTTTTTTAATGACATTTTCCTCTCCTGATACTAATTGCCATATTGGGAAGCTGCCTTGTCGACTCCAGCAGACTAACCTAAAACTTTTTCATAGTTTAAAACTTTTAGTTGATTATTGTTTTAAGGATGCAGAAGAAAATGAGATGGAAGTGGAGGGACTTCCCCTTCTCATTACACTGGACAGTGTTTTGCAAACTTTTGATGCAAAACGACCGAAGTTTCTAACAACATACCATGAATTGATTCCATCACGCAAAGATTTGTTCATGAATACATTATATTTGAAATACGGTAATATTTTATTGAACTGTAAAGTTGCAAAAGTGTTTGACATTTCCAGCTTTGCTGATTTGTTATCCTCTGTATTGCCTCGTGAATATAAGACCAAAAATTGTACAAAGTGGAAAGATAATTTTGCAAGCGAGTCCTGGCTTAAGAATGCATGGCATTTTATCAGTGAATCTGTAAATGTGAAAGAAGAACAAGAAGAAACAAAACCAACATTTGACATTGTTGTTGATATCCTAAAAGACTGGGCATTGCTTCCAGGAACAAAGTTTACTGTTTCAGCCAATCAGCTTGTAGTTCCTGAAGGGGATGTTCTGCTTCCTCTAAGCCTCATGCATATTGCAGTTTTTCCAAATGCCCAAAGTGATAAAGTCTTTCATGCTCTCATGAAAGCTGGCTGTATTCAGCTTGCCTTGAACAAAATATGTTCAAAAGATAGTACATTTGTTCCTCTGTTGTCATGTCACACAGCAAACATAGAGAGCCCCACAAGCATTTTGAGGGCTGTACATTATATGGTTCAAACTTCAACATTTAGAACTGAAAAATTAGTAGAAAATGACTTTGAAGCACTTTTGATGTATTTCAACTGCAATTTGAGTCACTTGATGTCCCAAGATGATGTAAAAATTTTAAAGTCACTTCCATGCTACAAATCCATCAGTGGTCGCTACATGAGCATTGCAAAATTTGGAACATGCTATGTACTTACAAAAAGTATTCCTTCAGCTGAAGTGGAAAAGTGGACACAATCATCATCATCTGCATTTCTTGAAGAAAAAATACACTTAAAAGAACTATATGAGGTGCTTGGTTGTGTACCTGTAGACGATTTAGAGGTATATTTGAAACACCTATTACCAAGAATTGAAAATCTCTCATATGATGCAAAATTAGAACATTTGATCTATCTTAAGAATAGATTATCAAATATTGAGGAATTGTCAGAGATCAAAGAACAACTTTTTGAAAAACTGGAAAGTTTATTGATAATCTATGATGCTAACAGTCGACTAAAGCAAGCAAAACATTTCTATGATAGAACTGTGAGGGTTTTTGAAGTTATGCTTCCAGAAAATTTGTTTATTCCTAAGGACTTCTTTAAAAAATTGGAACAACTTATAAAACCCAAAAATCAAGTTGCATTTATGACCTCCTGGGTGGAATTCTTAAGAAACATCGGACTAAAATACATGCTTTCTCAGCAGCAGTTATTACAGTTTGCTAAGGAAATCTCAGTGAGAGCAAATACAGAAAACTGGTCTAAAGAGACTTTGCAAAATACAGTTGATATACTTCTCCATCATATATTCCAAGAACGAATAGACTTGTTATCTGGAAATTTTTTGAAAGAACTGTCTTTAATACCATTCTTATGTCCCGAGCGAGCCCCTGCTGAATTCATTAGATTTCATCCTCAATATCAAGAGGTAAATGGAACACTTCCTCTTATAAAGTTCAGTGGAGCACAAGTGAATCCAAAATTCAAACAATGTGATGTACTTCAGTTGTTATGGACATCCTGCCCTATTCTTCCAGAGAAAGCCACACCTTTGAGTATCAAAGAACAAGAAGGTAGTGACCTTGGTCCTCAAGAACAGCTTGAACAAGTCTTGAGTATGCTTAATGTTAACCTGGACCCCCCTCTTGATAAAGTCATTAATAACTGCAGAAACATATGCAACATTACAACTTTGGATGAAGAAATGGTTAAAACGAGAGCAAAGGTCTTAAGGAGCATATATGAATTTCTCAGTACAGAAAAAAGGGAGTTTCGTTTTCAGCTGCGGGGGGTTGCTTTTGTGATGGTAGAAGATGGTTGGAAACTTCTGAAGCCTGAAGAGGTGGTGATAAATCTAGAATATGAATCTGATTTTAAACCTTATTTGTACAAACTACCTTTAGAACTTGGTACCTTTCATCAGTTGTTCAAACATTTAGGTACTGAAGATATTATTTCAACTAAGCAATATGTTGAAGTGTTGAGCCGCATATTCAAAAGTTCTGAAGGAAAACAATTAGATCCTAATGAAATGCGTACAGTTAAAAGAGTAGTTTCTGGCTTGTTCAAGAGTCTACAAAATGATTCAGTAAAGGTGAGGAGTGATCTTGAGAATGTACGCGACCTTGCACTTTACCTTCCAAGCCAGGATGGTAGATTGGTCAAGTCCAGCATCTTAGTGTTTGACGATGCGCCACATTACAAAAGTAGAATCCAGGGGAATATTGGTGTGCAAATGTTGGTTGCTTAGCCAGTTTTTACCACGGATTTCATACTAAGTTGATAATGCTTTTTCCTCAAAAACTCAGACCTCGTTTATTGAGCAGTATTCTTGAAGAGCAGTTAGATGAGGAGACCCCCAAAGTTTGTCAGTTTGGAGCCTTGTGTTCTCTCCAGGGAAGACTGCAGTTACTCTTGTCTTCTGAACAATTCATTACAGGACTAATTAGAATTATGAAGCATGAAAATGATAATGCATTCCTGGCCAATGAAGAAAAAGCCATAAGACTTTGCAAAGCTCTAAGAGAAGGATTGAAAGTGTCCTGTTTTGAAAAGCTTCAAACAACATTAAGAGTTAAAGGTTTTAATCCTATTCCCCATAGTAAAAGTGAAACTTTTGCTTTTTTGAAGAGATTTGGTAATGCTGTCATCCTGCTCTACATACAACATTCAGACAGTAAAGACATTAATTTCCTATTAGCATTAGCTATGACGCTTAAATCAGCCACAGACAATTTGATTTCTGATACTTCATATTTAATTGCTATGCTAGGATGCAATGATATTTATAGAATCAGTGAGAAACTTGACAGTTTAGGAGTAAAATATGACTCTTCAGAACCATCAAAACTTGAACTTCCAATGCCGGGCACTCCAATACCTGCTGAAATTCATTATACTTTGCTTATGGATCCAATGAATGTTTTCTACCCAGGAGAATATGTTGGGTACCTTGTTGATGCTGAAGGTGGTGATATCTATGGATCATACCAGCCAACATACACATAAGCAATTATTGTACAAGAAGTTGAAAGAGAAGATGCTGACAATTCTAGTTTTCTAGGAAAGATCTATCAGATTGATATTGGTTATAGTGAATATAAAATAGTTAGCTCTCTTGATCTGTATAAGTTTTCAAGGCCTGAGGAAAGCTCTCAAAGCAGAGACAGTGCCCCTTCTACACCAACCAGCCCTACAGAGTTTCTAGCACCTGGTGTACGAAACATTCCTCCTCTTTTCTCTGGAAAAGAAAGCCATAAGACCTCATCTTCAAAACATCATTCTCCCAAAAAGCTTAAGGTAAATTCTTTACCAGAGATTTTAAAAGAAGTGACAACAGTAGTGGAGCAAGCTTGGAAGCTTCCAGAATCTGAAAGAAAAAAGATTATTAGACGGTTATATTTGAAATGGCACCCTGACAAAAATCCAGAGAATCATGACATTGCTAATGAGGTTTTTAAACATTTGCAGAATGAAATTAACAGATTAGAGAAACAGGCTTTTCTAGATCAAAATACAGACAGAGCCTCAAGGCGGACATTTTCAACCTCAGCAGCCCGATTTCAGTCAGACAAGTACTCGTTTCAAAGATTTTATACTTCATGGAATCAAGAAGCAACAAGCCATAAATCTGAAAGGCAACAACAAAATAAAGAAAAATGCCCACCCTCAGCTGGACAGACTTACTCCCAACGGTTCTTTGTTCCTCCAACTTTCAAGTCAGTTGGTAATCCAGTTGAAGCACGTAGGTGGTTGAGACAAGCCAGAGCAAATTTTTCAGCTGCCAGGAATGACCTTCATAAAAATGCCAATGAATGGGTATGCTTTAAATGTTACCTTTCTACTAAATTAGCTTTGATTGCTGCTGACTATGCTGTGAGGGGGAAGTCTGATAAAGATGTAAAGCCAACTGCACTTGCACAAAAAATAGAGGAATATAGTCAGCAACTTGAAGGACTGACAAATGATGTCCACACATTGGAAGCTTACGGTGTAGACAGTTTAAAAACAAGATATCCTGACTTGCTTCCTTTCCCACAGATTCCAAATGACAGGTTTACTTCTGAGGTTGCTATGAGGGTGATGGAATGTACTGCCTGTATCATAATAAAACTTGAAAATTTTATACAACAAAAAGTGTGAAAGTATTTAAGAAAAAAAGTAGAGCTAGATCTTGAATGTGTTATAACACAAATATGAATTGCTGTCCTTCCTGACTTCATTGCCACTTATTTAGGAATTGTAGATTGTGAAGAATTTTGGAGTTCTTATGAATATCAGTATCAATAGAAGATCTTTACAGAATCTAAAAGAAAATTATTTTGAAGATGGTGGTGAACTGAAAAATTGCTAGATGTATTTGAATGGCTAGGATGGCACCATTTTGAACTGCACTTTATATCATCAAAGCTTAGCAGTTTGTTAGAGAAGAATATGTCTCTGTTTAGGGTAAATTTTATGTTTTTAACATGGTAATTTTGAAGGGGCTAATGAAACACTGGAATATCATTGCTTTAAACAAATAAGGGGAATTAAGTCTTGGAATTTTATCCTTTATTTAAATGGATCATCTTGGATGTGCTGTTTTATTATCAGCTGGATCTGATTATGAATTTGTTGCAATTTTACGTCCTAAATACTCAGTACATTTAAAAAATGGTACCATATTTTAAATCCTGAATATTACTTGACTTAGAATAGGCAGATAGTACTTCTAGGGTGCACTGAGTGCACATTGCATCTTTATTCTAAAAGTTTTTTACACCTAATGTTTACAGGTTTCCTCTTTCATGAAGATAGCATATGGAAAACTCAAAATTGTGGCAGTTCTTATCACCAGATGTTATTATATTGCTTCCAAGAACTGCTTACCAAAACAACATTTATCAACTGATAGAACATTTGCTTTAAGTTTGTACATATTTTCCACAAGTGTCATAATTTATATAGTGTGGTTGAGCAGGATGCAATCCTTTGTTGTCTAAAGGTGCTGCAGTTAAAAAAAATCTTTTGTCTTTCAACATGGCACTTGGTGGAGCCTTTTGGAGTTTACTTTGGAAAACATTGAAAAAAAATGTATTGTGACAATATCCAGTAGTTTATAAAAGAGGAATTATCAGCTTGTATTTTTCCCATGAGTGATTCGAACTGACAACTAAATTATGTTTGAATGTCCTACCATAGGTATTTACTTAACATATTTCTTTTGAAGAATGTAAAAGAAAGGTAATGATAATTAGTTTAAATACATGTGCAGGCTATAAATGATGCTAAATATAATATTTTATGCAATTAAAGACTTATGGAACAATAAAACTTTTTTACTTTTATTGGTAATAAGGAATGCACCTCCATGATTCTATTGTTTCTGGATGTGAAGCCCTATAATTATTTCTGCTGTTATGTTAAGTGCCATAATTTTAATAAAGCAAATATACATATGAAATCATTGTAACTGGTATTTTCTGAGAAATAGTTCATTGAAAATCAAACAGATTTCTCTATATTAAGTTTTGATATGTGTATTGTATATATGAGTTTATAGGAAATAGTACAATTAAGTTTCCCTATATTTTTATAATGGAATTTTAATAGGTTTCTTTTTGTATGATTGAACATAAAGTACTAGGTTTATTAGGTTCTTATTGATTAAAGAGTTCATTTTACATTTTAGGAAATAAGATTAGTTGATATATATGTTATATACAGGTGGGGAAAAAGTAAGTTACAGTTGTGAATATGTGAAAGTTTATTCTGTATTATTATTTATTAATTGTATTATTTTCCATAAAAACAACTATAAATCTACTTTTGCCCCACCTATATATTTATGGATTTGGAAATATTTTAAATATGATTCTTCTGTAGGTAGTGGCTGAATTGATATTTTCCTTGTCTCAGGAGAGGGCTTCATGTTTGGGGCTAATTCACACTTGAGCCCTACCTAACAGGTAGGAAATGTTCATCTTTGTATCTGAGATTCAAGTCTTCAGAGTTAGTCAGAGCAGTGCTGAGAGTTCTGTCTTCTAGGACTACCCAAGTTCTGAATCTTCAGCTTTCTGGGCATTTTTAAAGAAGTACTTGCTACTTTGGAACTCAGTTTCAGCACTTAGAATGTATTTTATTGTTTTGGGGTATTAAAACTTACACAGGAAACCTTGTCTGGCCTTTATGAGAGTTGATCCAGTTGGAGTTATTGAGGGATTCTTTTTTTTAGACTTTAAAAGAAATATTTTTTATCATTGATAGTATTACAGATATCTGCCATTCTACACCCCCTCTTCACCCCCACTCCCAGCCCCTACCCACCCCTCAATGTCTTCACTAACCTATTGCCCGTGTCCATGTAGGCTTTCTTTTTTTAAAAATTACAGGTTCAGCTCTAACATGTGTGGCTCAGTTGTTGAGTGTCCCGTGCACCAAAAGGTTGCCAGTTTGATTCCTAGTTAGCAAACATGCCTGAGTTGTGGGCTCAATCCCTGGTAGGGAGCATATAGGAGGCAGCTGAAAGATGTTTTGCTCTCACATCCGTATTTCTCTTCCTCTCCTCTTTAAAATTCAATTTAAAAAATTTAAAGTTACAGGTTCACAATCCTTTGTATCAAATCCTTGGATTCAAACCCTTGGATTGGGTTTTAGGAAGTTTTTAATGAAGCATTCTCATCAGAGTTGATGTTTTTTGCAGTGAAATCAATGACTATTCACATTGAATTGAATACATAGATCAGATAAATAGCCTCATCTAAATTTAGGTCAGGTTTTGCTACTGACATATTTGGGAAATTTTCATTTTGGGGAGCATTTTAGAATTTGAAATTCAAGGCAAGAAATTTGGGGCCTGAACTAATCATCTTATGCTTTTTCTTTCTTTTCCCGTTATGCTCTTTGTATTAAAAGGAAAATGGAAACTCAGCGGTATGTAGAGTAGCTGCTCCTGAGTAGCATGCAGTCTAGAACGGTTGGAACAGGCTCCTGCACTTGAGCAGGTCCTGCCAGGTTAGAGAGGGATGAAAGTTTCCTGGGCAGAAGGGCTGAATTGTTCATAGCCTCCATGAGAAAACTAGTGAACACCTGCGCAGTCCAATTAGTTTAAACACCAAGCTGGAGGGGGAGCAGGGCGTGGTGAGATGTTGGTAAAATGTTCAAGTTGTGTTTAATAAAATAAAGTTGTTCCCAGGTCTGATTGGGTGTGAGTGGGATTTTCTTCTATCTGTACAAGTTTGCTGTACTTTTTTTTAGATGTCAAGAATAAAATTTGTAGTGCTGGTAAAAATAAAAAATAGAAAATATTTTAATTAGTCATGTATTAATCAGGGTTTACAACCAATTGATACTAAATATTATTTCACAAACCAAGAGTCTGATTTTATGAAGTTATATCTAGTCTTTTATCTATTGTGTATAGGTAAATACACAGGATGGACAGTTATGAGTCCTACCACCTACTAGCTGTTTAATCTGGGTGGATGACAAAACACATTTGGACTTTAGTTCTTTCATTTGTCAAAAGAGTATTATCCCATCTACACATTTATGTAGGTTGGTATTTTGGATGGAATGAAACAACATATAAAAGTTTCTCCACGTGAAAACAGCTGTTCAAAAGTAGGGTCACAGTTTAATTTCCAGTAGATATTGTATGACCTTGTGACTTGTTCTACCTGAACCATTTTTTATCACCACTAACTTGGGGAAAATAATACCTACCTCAAAGAGTTGTGAGGATTAAAGAAAGTAAATGCTCAAACTGTGAAGTTTTGGGGGGGGGGGAATGTAGGTTGATTTTTATTGCTCATTGACTATAAAGAAAGCATGATTAATTTTGTATATTTATTCCTTTGACTACATATTGAAAATCAGATCAACCTTAAAATCCATTAAAAATATGAACATTTTCTTGTGAAACTTGACATACTTCGCATTAAAATGAATAGAGAACTCACAGGTTTGAGTGAAATAATGAAAACACATCATAGAACTTTGGGTCATCTTAGTATTGACTAATGCTACTTTTAGGGGGAGTTAGCCACAATTGAACATCATAAATTAATTTCACACAGCAATTCATTGTATTATTGTAGATTGACATGTACAAGAAAGGAAAAGAAAATTCACAAGGTTCTGATGTAATCAATCTAGTAGAATAAACTTTCTTTTGTTATTTCTTGGGCTTTTGCATCTACCACCCACACACCATTCATCTGAACCCTTTCATTGGCACAGTTTTCTTTTGTCCTACTTCCATCCATCACCTCAGTTTTCCAGGGTGTCAAGTTGCTCTAAGAGTGAGGGCTCGAAGTCTCTAAAGTTCACTGAAACAAGGCAGATTCTCCATGGAAGATATAGGTAGTTTAGGAACAGATGTGACTGTTTTCATGGCATGTGGTACTTGTGCCAGCCACAGACAGGTAAAGCTTCCCATCTGGACACACACAAACTTCATAGAGTCTTTGTGAGCTGCCAACGGGACCCCAAGTCTCCTGAACCAACTTGGGTAAACATACAGTTTCAGAATCAAGCACAAGCTGTTTGGGAGAAAATGAGAGATTAATTGGTAAAGGAGGAATGAACATGATAAGATAAAACGCATATTCTCAAAATGCTCTAAACAAATTAGTTTTTCTCAGCATAGAAAATGAAATAAGCACCTGCTTTTACTTGTTATAATTATCTGAATCTTTTATAGCCTATTTCTATTTTACATTCAGGCAAAGTGTTAATAATTCCTTCTTCAATTTGAAGTCATTTTTACTTTTACCCATTGTGCCAGTTGAACTAGGAAAATTTATAATGCTACACGCACAAAAATGCCTTTCAGAATTACCTGACAAAAGTAAAAATAGAATTCTTTTGCTGATTCACATTTATCTTGTGATCCACTTTGACGTTATGTTAAATCATCTCGTCACTATTAGGATAAATTACAAGCCACAGAAATAGATTAATCTAAATAATTTTTACCTTTGAATGTTGGCGTTTCTCCTGATTTTATTTTCTGTGAAAGGCAATTACATTTATCCTATTAGCTAGCAACCATTTCCCTAACTTTAAACATATTTGAAACTCCTGCCTTCTATTAGATGCAGAAAAGCAGTAGATAGTGATAAAAGCCAACTAAAATAAAATAAAAGCTGCTGAATTTTATGTTCCTATTACAGTTAAACTGAAATGCAAACAAACAGCTATTGGTGGAGATTTGGAAATGTTTTTTGATAACTGAAGGCAATAAGAATTGTCACACTGAGCTGCAAACCGTACCTATTCCTTCTTAGAAGGAATTAAAGCATGTTGTGGGTAGGTATAATGATCTTTTTTGCCAACAAAGTTAGATCCTTTATTTTATGTGGCTCTCATCCTTGAACTCCAATCTTTTAATAAATTGATGTTTTCAGGCGTCCTTCCTCCCAGGACACTGACCACTGCCATGTGAAGCAGTGGGTGAAACAGTATTAGTGGCATTACAGGAAAAGCTTTACCCTTATGGTCTGGGACTCCTAGAATAAAAGGAATAAAATGGGTATTTTTTAAAAAGCAGAACCTATTTAATAGGTTATTGCCCAGTGCTTTGGGTTTTGTGGGTACTTGCTTTTTCCCATGTGTGTTTGATTATTTTTAGCTTGTCTCCTTTTCCTCTCTCCTTTTTTTATGGATAATTGGTCAATTTTATTCTAATTATTTTTTTCCAGCAAACTCTAGTCACTGGTAGTTCATGTACCGCTTCATTGCTCATCTTCTTATGCTTTTGTGGGACAATATTTTGTAGGCCACACATTGCTTCACTCTGAACTGGCCCCCAGTAATAAGGGAGAGGAACTTTATGAGTCAGACTGCTAAAATTGACACATAATTCATGAGGGGAAAAGTCATGTTATTTAAAAATTACAGTCCATATAAATTTTTTACAGTTAATGCCTTTTAAGAATGTAGTGACATTATGAATTAGTAATAAGATTCCAAATGTCTTGATTTCCATTTTTGCATTTATCTGTTAATGGTATCATAACTTTTTAAAGTTAAAACTTGCAGGAGCTTTGCCACAGTACTTTTAAATTCCATTCACTGGCTGTCAGCCGGATCCTGTCTACATTAATGATCTGCCTCTCCTGGCCTCCATTTGTTGCCTCAACTACCCCTTCCTCTTAATATTAAATTACATAATTTCAAAATGTTGCCACCCATATTACCATATTGGTGTCTTATAACCCTATGACATAGTTAAGCAAATATTATTTCCCCTATTTGACAAATGAGAACATAGGGCCCAGTGAACCCTGTTATCTTTCCTGAATTCAAATAGGTAATCCGTGAATTGACCTAGCACTAGAACAATCCAGGTTGAGTAGCATGTGCTCCATTGCCTTGCTATAACTGTGGCCTCTATCAGTAATGTTTTATTTCTGGACTTGGCGTTTCAGATTTTATCCTTATTGTAACTGACTTTTAAAG